CGAACCCGACACAAACTCAAAGACCGCAGACTTCAAAGCTCAGCACCAATCAAGGCCTTCGTGTGCGAACTCACCCTGTCCACCATGTGCTGGGGCTGGACGTACCTGGTCCGGAAGGAGGCGCCAACCTTTTGGCTACGAAACGGGTTGCCCCTAAACCCTAAACCTGAACCATTGTCATAGTTCGGGGTTTAGGGTTTGGGGTTCAGCCCTTAGGAGCTTTAGCTTCAGGGGTCAAGGTCCTGTTTTCGGGCTATGATTGATGGTTCAGCGGTCCTGAGAGAACTATGGTTTAGGAGGATGTTGCCCGGTCAGAATTGAATTGAGGCCGCAGAGTGTACTGATTTGGATGTGAAGGGTTTCGTTCGTTTCATGTGCAAGCCGCTGGAAACAGCTTTTCAGGGGTGTTCCTGATCTTACATATTTCTCTTCATGCCGGACGTGTAAAGTTCGGGTAGATGATGTTCAGCAATACATTGCAGGACAAGTGTTGGGCTCTTTGTCTTTGTGAGTGCTTGCAGATATGCCTGAGATCGCAGACGAAGATAGCCTTCCAATCTAGCTGACAATACGACTGGTATGGGCCTGAGAATGCACCTGACAAATGGTGACTCTGTTACCACAAGACTCTCAAGAGACTCCTGAAATTTCAAGCAGCTGCGCTGCCCTCTACTTGCCGACAGCCCTCCCGACAATCCCCTCCAACACCCGGGAGCCAGAGTCGCTGAACTGCTAACCCCAAATAGCCCTGAACCCTAAACCCTAAATCCTAAACCCTAAACCCTAAACCCTAAACCCTAAACCCTAAACCCTAAACCCTAAATCCTAAACCCTCAAAGCCACACCCCGGGGCACCAGAACTCCTTGGACGTGTTCCTCGTCTTCATCGCCGTGCTCACCACGTGGATCTTTGGCCCGTTGCAGATCGAGGTCGGGTGGGCCGGGCCGGTCCGTGAGTACTGTAGGGGTTTGGAGACTAAGTAATACTATTCCTTTGTAGCCCTTGTGTATGGTATAACCTACTCCCAACACCCTCGTCGGTTGCACGAAGGTCCTATCAGCTATGGGAGTTTCATGATGGTTGTTCAATTGTCGAGGGCTTTGTCGTGGTTATGTGCGGGTTCAGGGGTTCAGGATTCACAAACTCTACAACTTAAAACCAAAAACCTAACCTCAGGTTCAGGGTTCAAACCACGGGCGCAATCAAAACCCGAGCTGTCAACTCCAAACCCCAAAGGATGCGGGTGCCCACAGCAGATCTTTTCAAAGAATTTAGAACTGAAGCGTCTTCAACGCCAACTCTTGTGCTTACAGAAAGGGGTCTGCAAGAATCAAGCACCCTGAGCCCCGAACCCTTAACCCAGAATCTTCTAGAGCCGTTCACAGAAGCCCTTGTAAAGCCCTAAACTCTCAACCCGGGACTCCACGAGGTCGACCTGCTTCGAAAGTTCACGGCTTTGAGGACGCGCCGGAGAAAGACTTGAAGTCAACGCTTATGTGTGGCTTGTTCTTTGTACCCTGACGGTAAGCTCTAAACCGTACGCACATGACACAGAACACAAACTAATAACCTAAACCCTCAGCCCAAAATGCCTTCAATCCTAAACAGCAGCCTAGTGCTGCTTGCTTTTGGATTTTGAGGTTTGGGGCCTGGAATCGGCTCTTTGGCAAGATCGTTACCAGCTGCAGGAGGGTTTTGCTCTTTGACACCTAAGCCAGAACAGAACCCTTAACCAGAGAGACATGCCGCACACGCTAAAACTCTGGGCCCTAAACCCTGGACCCAGAACCACGCACCCCTAAACCCTAAGCGCCTTAAGCCCTAACTCGTGATCCGACACCTAGATTCAAGCTGACCCCTTCTTATCCAGACCGCAGACCAAGAAAAGTTAGTGCGATTGTTTCTAAACCCTAAACCCTAACCCCTAAACCCTAACCCCTAAACCCTAAACCCTAAACCCTAAACCCTAAACCCTAAAGCTTAAACCCTAAACCCTAAACCCTAAACCCTAAACCCTAAACCTAAACCCCTAAACCCTAAACCCTAGCCTTGGGGTCTGCGAATGCTAAGAAGGTGAGGACCGGCCCTGAACCCTAAACCCTTCGGCCTTCTGTCCAAGGGTGAAAGGAGGGACCCTCAATAAGGACCCCTAGGTATATGCCCTTAATATAGCTATTATATACCCATTATATAGCAAATTATAGGGTAGGGGTCCCCATTAAGGGTCTTCTTTGATTCTGGTAGAAGCTGAAGCATAAGCCCTCTATGTAGCTCTAACTTGAGCCTGGAGTTTAGGCCGCCTGAATGCTGCAGTAAAGTGCGGTATAGTCTAGAAGCTGTCCCCACCCTGTAATAGTGGTATAATAGGAATATAATAGGGCCCTAATATAATCATATATATATATATATAATCCTTATAGTCACTATTACAGGGTGGGGGCAGCTTCTAAGGTATAGTCCCTAATAATCAGAGCATAACTCCACGGCACATCCACCCCAGGACTGTCAGACTCGTCCGCCTGGCCCGATCTGTGCGGCTGAGACCAGAGTTCAAGGTGGACATGTTGTTTCGTATAAGAGCCTGAGGAATTACCGATACTATGTTGGGGGTTCCTGATTATAGTTATAATATAAGGCGACCCACAGCCCTATTCTAATTATTAAGGCCCCTATATTGGACTTTCGGGTTTGCGGCTTGAAAGCTGAGGTCAGCTTCGAGATGGGGCGTTCATTGCAGAAGTGTCTTGTGGCGCCTTAGGGGGTCTGGCAGGGCCTGTGCTTCGGATGCTGAGCGCTGGAGGGGGTGGGGCGCTGGCCTGGGCCTCAACCGTAAACCCTTAGTCCCAAACCTTAGGTTCCAAACCTAGGAACAAAACTACAAACCCCAAAGCCTGAACCCGAGGCCAAACAAACCCCAAAACCCCGACACACAACTTGAAACCTCTACTCATCGTCTGCGGGGACTCAGGATGCTCTTTGGTGATGGCATCATGCTTACGACTTACGAAGAACGATAGCTCATCTCAGTTATTGCTAGTTGCTAGTTCGTTTCTTACTACCAGTGATTATTCAGTATTCGTTGCGGCTACTCATTATGACAAGGGCTTGTCATTGCGATTATCCTTATGGAGCCCGCAACCACTTGGAGGGTCGGGGGACTTAGTAACTGGTTATTTTAGGGACTTATAAGTACCATAACCCCAATTAGGGTCCCTTTTAGGCTATTTATAAGTCTACTTACTACCTACTTACTAAGTCCCCCGACTCTCCAACCAGGAGATGTGGATAATAAGGAATATACCATAATTCCCATAGTTTAGGGTCCTTAAGGTAATGCAGGATTTATATCATCAACCGTAGCATCATGCTTACAGGAGATGTGGATGCTGATCAAGGGCCTCACGGAAAGTGGGGAGACTCTGGTCTGGACCGCGTGGAGCTGGGGTGGCAGGGGCCTTTTTTGTGGTTTTCAGGGTGTGGGGCTTTGTTTTTTTGGTTTTTAGTGTTGAGAGTTTCGAAAGGGATCCGAAAACCCGAATCTCTAGACTGACAAAGAGGAGCATCTAAAAAGGTTGGGATCTCGTTCGGAGCGCTTCACTCTACTTCCGGGTCTGGGGCTTAGGCCTTATGGTGTCAAGTGTTCAGGGGCTTAAAACCTAAACCCTCGGTTCTTCGGTTTCATGAGCTTCGCTTTGCTTGCTCACGCCTCGTCGGCCAGCTGCAACTCTACCACCAGCCGCAATCGTAAACCCTTGCGTCGCCCGACCACACGACGCCGTAAAGCATCCTCCTACAGTATATCTTGCAGTGCTTTAAGGACCTCTTAGGCTAGATAAGATCAGCAGCAGCTGTAGCACAAAGGCGGAAGGGAGACTAAACCCCAAACCCTACGACCCTAAACCCCTAATCCCGAAACTCGAAACCGCTAGTCTCGAAACCCCTCAACCCTAAACCCTAAACCATGGTTGCGTTCTTGATGTGCTTGGCCGTGGCTGGAGATCTCGGCTGCTGATGGCGCCACCAGCCTGTTTAGGTTTTGTGATGGGTTTGACGTGTGTCTCCAATTCTGTGCCACGTGGGGCAGGCTGTAAACCCCTTACTTAGCGGTCATGAACCTGCTAAACTCTGGTAAGAGTCTGTAAATCCTTGTCAAGGCCTTTGAAACCCTCAGACACCCTAAACCCTAAACCCTAAACCTTAAACCTTAAACCCTAAACCCTAAACCCTAAACAGGGGATTGCATGCAGGGTCTGGGAGTCTCGCTGAACCGGTGTCTGAGCCTGCGACCACCGTCTGGACTGTGACATTCGGTTTAGGTTCCAAGCTTTGGGACTCCAGGCCTTTGTCATAGTTGGGCAACATTCTACATTTTTAAGGGTACCTAAACCCAATAAGGAATGATCATGTACATTTCTAAATCCCAACCACGGCCAGCGGTTTACGGATGCATGCTGGCATGCCAGCGGCTTCGGTTTCCAGGAGGCTCGATCTTTGACTCCCTTCCATCAGTTCCAGACACCAGGGAGCTTAGTGTAGATCCGAATTTTACAATAGTAGCATCCGTAGTATCAGGATTTCGAAATTGGGATACCATAGAGGCCGGAATAATTTCCAACATATTCCCAGGGTTCCCTATGAGACTTATGCGCTAATTTAACCCAAAACCCTATTCTAATTATTAAGGCCCCTATATTATTCAATTTGAGGAAGCACTCATGAGACCCCGAGTCCCACACTCCTGCGCCCCCCCGACAGTCGCTTACCGAAGCGCCGAGCTGTTGCTGTTGGCCCTGGACCGCTATTGCCCAGACCATGTTAAACCCCAACCTCAACAGTTGTTCAAGGGCTTTGTAGGGCACTACGAGGGTTTTTGTAAGGGGAGGGTTTTTCAAGGTCTCTCTAAGGCTTCTCTATCCGAAGTCCGGCGAGCTGTGGCCCAAAGTAACGTCGGGATCCTGCTGGCGCGCCCCCTCGGCGGCAGCCACCGGCCTTCCAAGCCATGCTCAAGGCCCTGACTTTGGGAAGTTTAGGGTTATAGGGTTTTTTAAGCCCTAAAGCATATACAGGGAGTTCCCAGGATTTTGGAACGTGCTTGTAGGTTTCTGAGGATGTTCTCACGTTTCTTTGGGTTGGGGTAGCAACATGCTTCCGGTGAGGAAGCAACATAGGTGGACGTCTGGAAGGGTTTGGGCTGACGTGGGCTATGAGGAGCAGGGTGTAGGGCTTTTGGTTGAAGCGACGTACGGCCCAGGGTTTGGGCTTTCAGGAGGTTCTGGGACTTATTAGATGCAAGGTGTAGCGATGCAAGGGCGCAGCGCAGGTTGTCGGCTTAATGTCAACCTAGACCCAAACTCCCCAGACCTCTAACCCTAAACCCTTCCAAGACCCGCGGGAGGATCCAAAAAGTAGATCCCTTAATGGGGGTTCCTATACAGTACCCTTAGTAGTATAGGGCCCCAAATTAGGGGATCTACTTTCTAGATCCTCCCGGGGGTCTGGGTTAGCGCCACTTTAAGAATCCTCGGGCCCGAATGCGTGAGTCGTGGGCGGCCGATACCCGGCTTAAGAAGGCTCAAGGCAGAGGCAGCGAAGGTCACTTGTGCATAAGTAGTTCAGAGAATGTTGCAGGTGTTCTTAAATGTTCTCAAAGAGTTTTGCAGGGTCTTCGGAGGGTTTTATGGGTTGAATAGACAGTTTTGTGGCGTTCTACATGGTCTTCGTCGGGACTTCGAAAGCACAAGACCCTTTCATTCTGGAAGATACCATAGGTCACGACAAGGGTCTATATACAAGCATCTGAAACCGTAGTTGTAAGGTTTATTCCAGCGTTACTAGGATGCCCAGTAGTACCCTTATTCCCTTTTTGTAGTCGTAGGTTCCTTATAAAGTTACCCAATACCAAAAAGAGAGGCCTTTTTGTTCTTAGGTTACTGGGTATCCTAGGTTAAGAGTACGCTGGCCTCTGAGTGCTTTGAACCGTCGGGTTTTGGGCCTGGGGTTTAGGAGGGCAAAGGGCTCTGCGCCTGGGGCATAGCGTTTGTGCACTGAAAGGAATTGAGAGACTCCAATATCCCTTAATTAAGGAATATACCTTAAATTATAATAAGATCCTTAATATGATTTAAGGAATATTCCTTAATTAAGGGATATTGGAGTCTCTGGGAATTGAGACTGTGACTCCAAAAGAGTGGTGATGAAACGATTGCGGATCCCGTACACCGCAAGCCATCATCGTATACTCTAAGCTAGTCACTTTACACTGTGGATCGTTTCCAGGTCATGGCTGCTATGGCCGGTGACGTGCTCTACAACCTTTGCACCCTGGTAGTTTTTCGTGTGATTCTCTTCGCAAGGTTGTGGTATAGGTTTCTTCGAGATGGGGTTGAGGGTTTACAGCTAATTGAAGAAACAACTGCAGAGTTGGAAGGGGTTTCGGAGTTATTTTAGCACAAGCCGTTGTGGTTGGGAGGTTCGGCTTCAGTTGGGAATTTAGGGTCTAAAGCTCTCCACTCGGGGACTAACCCCTAAACCCGAAGCCCTCAACCCTAAACGCTGAGCCGTAAACCCTAAACCATTGACTCCTAATTCCCAAACCCTAGATCGTACTCCCAAGGCCCAAGCACCTGGGGCTCGAGGGAGGATTCGGAAGGCCTCGTCCCCTGGGCCTTCTTATGGGCCCTTGGCAGGAGGAGAATAGAGAGGTCAGAATATCCCTTTGTCCCCCTGTCTATTGGCCTCAGAAACCCAGAACATAGCACGCAGGCTCTACCCTAAACCCTAAAACCTAAACCCAGACACTTTCCCAACCGGGATTCCTTTCTTGCAGACTCTGCCAGACGGAAAAAGGCGTTCAAAAAAAAACCCTGAACCCTAAACCCTAAACCCTACACCCTAAACCTGAACCCTAAACCTGAACCCTGAACCCTAAACCCTAAACCGTGCGCGCCCTGGATGGAGCCATCCGGATGAGAACCCTTCTTGCCAAACCCAATAGGTAAGAGCAGGGACCAGGGCCCAAACGCTTTGGATCACCCAAGCCCTAAACCCTACCTGGACCCCAAATAACCTACCTCTTTAGGGTTCCATAATATGATTTCTTTATATCAGTCCTTCAAAAGGTAGGATATTTGGGGTTAAGGTGGATTCTAAACCACAAACTAAACCTAAAGCACCCGAGCCCTAGGCACCGGCTACTACGAGGAGGGGCGGCCCACGAACAAGGAGAGAACTGCCGAGCGGAAGAAGAACTGCCTGCTGTGCATCCAACGTGTCCTGGAGGCCACAGCGGGTTCAAGGTTTAGGCTTTAGGGTTTGGGGTTTAGGGTTTAGGGTTACAGGGTTTGGGATTTGGGGTTTGGGGTTCAGGGTTTAGGGTGTAAGGTTGGGGTTTCTTCTAATCGGCGGGGGGCTCCTTTTGAGGAGGGTTTTGGGTTCAGGATGTTTCGTGGGGTCTATATTCGGGGCCTCGAAACCCTGAACTCTCAACCCTAATCCCTCAACCCTAGGCCCTAAACCCTAAAAAAAGCCCCAATCCAAAATGAGCCTGGGCTCTTTGAGATTCAGAGGCTTGGAGGCTGTTGGACTTCCGGCTTTGGCGTTACAGGGTTTAGGGGCAGGGGGGAAACAGCTTCGCGATCTCAGCTTTGGGGTGTGTGGTTTGGGGACATGGCAATATAACTGAGTAATCAAAAGTCGTCGCAAGAAGGGCGAAAGAACGCTGTTGGTGTGCAAGCTGTTGCTTTCGGGTGTCACTGAAAGCAGCATAGAACAACCTCTGTGCCACTGCATATCGCTATTGTACCCTTCGCGTCACAGTAAGCCGGAGCTACTTTCCAATAAGTCTCATAAACCCTAAACTTTAAACCCCGAAACCCTAAACCCTAAACCCTAAACCCTAAACCCCGAAACCCTAAACCCTAAACCCTACATCCTGCACCCTCAACCCTGGGGGTGGCGAACCTTCAATCCTAAGCTCCCCAAATCCCGATCGCCAAGCTCAAACTCCTAAAGCCTCCTCGAAGAGGTCGCAGTGGGCCCAGGGGACCTCCTCTCTTCGGATATCAGGGCGGACATTGCTGCCGAGGCTTACGCTGCCTGGGGCGACTGCAGCTGGGTTGGAAAGGTTTGGGATTTAAGGTTTAGTCTAGGGCCGAGGGCTTTCAGGGTTTAGCTGCTTGTTTTCGTATGGGTTTGGGTGCATGCACTAACGCATACATACGTCCAGGCATGCAGACATCCATACAGTGGCTCGCCGACACAGGTGCATACGTACCGACATGTCTACCTGCGATGTATACGTGTATCCGTGCAAACGTGAAAGCCCGAAGTATCAACGCAAAGCTCCAAGCCCCCTCTAATCTCTAAGCCCTGAGCCGCCAAGCCTTAAGCCCTAAGCTCCAAATACCAACAGCATCCACAGAGCCCTACTAGACCTATAAGAAACCGCGCAGGAACCCTTGAGGGAACTCTCAAGAGATCCGTTCACGGCTCCTGTAAGGGCTCCTTTAAGGGAAACTTCCCGAAGTTCTTACAGACCTCCAAAGCTCTAAACCCTAAACCCTCAACCCTAAAACCCTAAGCCCGAAAAGCCTTAAATCCTAAACCCTGACCACGCCGAAGGTCAGGGCTGCCTGATGGCCAAAAGCCAGGGGCTGCCGGCGAAGGGCACCGACTTTGCCAAGTACAACTTGGAGGATGGTGTAGGGTTTGGGGGTTACCTTAACCCTCCAAAACCTACTTTCTTGTAGGGTCCCTATAAAATCTAGATTAGGGTTTATAATAAGAACCTACAAAGGTAGGTTTTGGTGGATAAGGTAGGGTTTAGGGTTTTAGGGCGTCGGGCCCCGTGCCTACAAGGCTTCCCAAACCGGCTTCCAAGTGGGTTCCCTAAAGTCTGTTTTTCCTTTCAAGGTTCCGCAAATGTCCTTGAGTCCCAGAATGGTTTCACAAGGGACCGTTGTGACTGTTGTGTTTGGGTGGGTCGGGCAGCACTGGGTTTTGGGCTGTTTCTGGGAGTTCTTAAGTTATGGGTTCGTGAAGTCAAGAGCTCAAATACTAGAAGCCTGAACAACTACATGCTAGTGCTATTTCTTAGGTTAGTTTGACAGAATATACACCAAAACCCTATTCTAATCATTAAGGCCTCTTGGCAGGTAACTTCCTGCTGCTTTGCTTGCGGAGCGGAGAAAGACGCCATTGCACCTAAAAAAACTAGGACCTCATCCTAAATATCAAGGCCCCTAAACCTAGAGGCTCCCAGAGACTCCAATATCCCTTAAGGAATATACCTTCAATTACAATAAGATCCTTCAGATGATTTAAGGAATATTCCTTAATTAAGGGATATTGGAGTCTCTGGGTCCGCCCTGAGGAGATTTCTCACGACTTCGTGACCACCGGACCTTTCCGAGACCTCGTCCATGCGATTGTGAACCGACAGCAGAAGCTGGACGAGGCCCGGGTCGGAGGTGTCAAAAGGTGGGATGAAGGTGGGTAGGGTTTAGGGTTTAGGGTTTAGGGTTTAGGGTTTAGGGTTTAGGGTTTAGGGTTTAGGGTTTAGGGTAGGATGAAGGATCCCTTATATAAGGACTCTTACTTGGGAATATTCCACCTACCTTCATCCCGCCTTTGGAGCCCTCTGACAGAGTGACACTCAGCACTCAAAGCCAACATGAGTTCTAGACCCGTACTACCCCCAAGCCCTGCAACCCGGACGGCCTAAAACCCTAAACCCTGAAGACCTAGAGCCCAAGAGACCTAAAACCTATGCAATTCTCTCCAGAGCTCTGCATCGAAAGGTCCCACTTCTAATCGTGAATCCCAAGCGCCGGACCCTAAGCACTCAACTTCTCAACAGACTGAAGCCTAAACCCTAAGCCCCTAAGCCCTAAATCGAAAAAGACCCTGAACCCCTAAACTCTAAATCCAAAAAACCCCTACACCGCGAAACCCTGAACCCTAACCCCCTAAACACTAAACCCTAAACCCTAAACCCTGCTCCATGCCCAGGCCTTCTTCAAGACGGTCGTGGAGCGAATGCGACAACACTTCGGCGAAGGTGACAAGATGCTTGGAGAGGCCCAGTCCGGTGGGTTCCCAGAGACTCCAATATCCCTTAATTAAGGAAAATTCCTTAAATCATATTAAGGATCTTTTTATAATTTAAAGTATATCCCTTAATTAAGGAATATTCCTTAACTCATATTAAGGATCTGATTAAAATTTAAGGTATATCCCTTAATTAAGGAATATTCCTTAAATCATATTAAGGATCTTATTATAATTTAAGGTATATCCCGTAATTCAGGAATATTCCTAAAATCATATTAAGGATCTTATTATAATTTAAGGTATATCCCTTAATTCAGGAATATTCCTAAAATCATATTAAGGATCTTATTATAATTTAAGGTATATTCCTTAATTAAGGGATATTGGAGTCTCTGGGTTTAGGGTGTCTCTTATTTGGGATTTTCGGGCGGGGTGTAGACTTGAGGGCTTACGGCTTCGGATCTGAGAAATACATCTTAGATGCACGTATCCCGCATAAGGATTCTGCATCCCGTTTGGGGAAATGCGAGTGCAGAAGTTCGTGATGTGGGCTGCTGGGGGAAGGGTTTCGAGTCTATTTTTGGAGGTTTCAGGGGTACGGGGTTCCTCATGAAATTGTATCTAAACTCCATGAGATCAATTACGGTGTGAGGGTGAAGGCCAAAAACCCAGAGGAATAGAGTCAACACCTCGAAGGGCTCGGGCGTGTCAGGGCTTGAAAATCAGAAGCTTAAAGGTCCCCCATGCTGAAAAGGTCCCAAGCCCTAAATCCGGATTGCATATCTCTCGTTCCTTAGCCCCTCGAAACCTTAGCAAACCACTCGAAGCCCCAATTTTCCAAAGCCTAATTTAAACTCCTTTAAAAAACAGGTAGCAGCCTCAGCCTCTCGAAATTCCCATAAAAAGCTTCCGCCAGCCCTGGAGGAGGATTTCCAGGCCATGGCCGTGGAATTGGCAACCCTTTCCGCGCTCTGCACCGGGGTTCGCGCCTTCTGCGCCGCCGCGGGGCCCCTCGGTTGGGCTGTGGGCTCTTTGGGTTTGCGTAAGGTTTTGTTTCGATTGTAGGGTATTGTAGGATGTTGTAGGGGTTCCATAAGGGGGCTGCGTGAGGGTCCAGGGTTTGTTTAGAGGGTTGGGGTGTTGTCTGGGGCTCTGTTGGGTGCAAAGGTTGGAGCCTAGGAGTTCGGGTTTCGTGCGATTCCACCATGCCCTCCTGACGAGACCCCAAACCCCACAAGAATTCTGATCTCGTAAACCAATACACCGTGCCCTGCCATGACTGAAGCCGCAGCCCCAAAATATCCTAAATCCTAAATCCCACAACCCCAAAATCATGCTCGAAAAGGGCAGGACAATGGTTTGAGCGAGCTTCAATTTCACTTACGACCGTAAGCTCTGAGGCCGTAAACCCTAACCCTCAATGAAGGCTCAGGAGATTTTGTAAACACGTTAAAAGTGCACCTGCAGGTACTCTGAATATGCATAACCCAACTTTTAACCTACCTACTAAGTCCCCTGATCCTAAATCTCGAGACCCCAAAACCCAACCCTATCCTCAAAGCATAAAACCACCCTAAGCCCTGAACCCGGGATTTTTCGCATCAGCCCTGAATCCTGAAACTCCCGGAACCCCTAACACTTATTCTTACAACTCTTATAGGATTTCTTGTATTCTAAAAGCCTTATAAACTAGATCTTATAGACACACCCTTTTGAGGAACCCTAAATCCAAACCCTAAACCCCTGTGCTCAACATCCTTCTCGTCACCCTTACATGCCCCTTCAAGGGTCGCTAAGCCCTACTTGGAGGATCGTGGGACTTAGTAACTAGGGTTACTATTAAGGTAACTATACTTGCTACTACTTACAACCCCAATTAAGGTACTTAAAACCACACTTACTAAGTCCCATGATCCTCCAAGTAAGCCCCGAAGCTTAACCACCCTTGTAGAAACCCTTACATTATAGAAGCCCTTTTAAGGAGCCCGTATAGAATCCCATGAGGAACTCAGAACCGCGGAGCCCGTATGGGAACCAGCATCGTGTTTTCGGAACCCAAACCCAAATAGGAACCCTTGTAGTCCACAAGCCCTTTGGAGGAAACTTAAAACCCGTATGTTCGAGAAGCCCTCTTTACGGAAACTCTTCTAGAATTCCCTTAAGCCGGAACCCACATGTTCTAGAAGCCCTCTTTAAACCCTTACAGAGTTCCCTCAAGCAGGAACCCTTATGTTCTGGAAGCTCTCCTTGAAGGAGCCCTAAACCCTAAACCCTAAACCCCAAACCCTAAACCCTAAACCCTAAACCCTAAACCCCAAACCCTAAACCCTAAACCCTAAACCCTAAACCCTAAACCCCAAACCCTAAACCCTAAACCTCAAACCCCAAACCCTAAACCCTAAACCCTAAACCCCAAACCCTAAACCCTAAACCCTAAACCCTAAACCCTAAGCCCTTGAAAGCATCGGCTCCAGGTACGAGGCTCCCGAGCTGCCCTCGCGGCCGACCCCCGCCGAGCCGGGCCGCTTCCGCTGCGTCGCCGACGCTTGGACGTTAGGGTTCCGGGGTTCAGGGTTTGGGGTTTAGGGTTTGGGGTTTAGGGGTTTGGGATTTAGGGTTTAGGAGTTTGGGGTTGAGGGTTTAGGGATTTGGGTTTAGGATGTAAGGTTGGCTCAATTTTTTGGGTTTAGAGGCTTTGTTTAGTAACTTTATTCTTTCTTTGGTGTTACATGCTGATGCAGAAAAAGACCTCGCAAATGCGATTTCCCCAATAGCTTGCTGCTAATCAAACTCAACGGACCCCTCGGCCAAACCTTCTAAAAATCCTCCGCCACATGCTGAGTCGTTGAGTTACAGACTTCAAGCTTTTGGTCCTCAGAGGTTTAGTGGGTGAGTTCGCACACTTAAAGTACTTAAACTTTTTAGATATGTTTGAGGGTTGCGCCCCTTTGCGACTGAAGGTTCGAAACTTCTTCTGTGGCCTCTGTATTGGACGACCAAGGACTATTCCACGGGATCTTTCAAGACGGACAGGTCGGGGGGTACTGTCGGGGGGTGGAGAGGTTAAGCTCCAAGATTTTGAGGCTTTTGGGTTTTGGGATATTTCAGGATGGTGGGTGGAGGGTTGGAGTTTTGTAAGTTTTGGAGATGGGTTGTACAGACTTGGCGGAAAGTTTCTTTTTCGGAAATCCAGAACTCTGAATCGAAACCCAAGGCCATGAGCTCTGAGCCTGATCTTGACACCCCGTTCACAGAGTCTACCTTTGATTACTAGGGAATGTACAAGTGTAACTACTATTACTACCGTTCTTCCCTTCCCTACTAACCACAGGTAAGAGAGTCTAACTCTAAACCCGTAAGAGCTTCAAGCAACGGGGGAACCCCGAAACCTAAAGCCGCGAACCCTAAGCCCTCAACGTCGCGTCTAGCCCTTAGCAGGTCCTTGTCCAGAAGCTGGACATCTTAGAAAAGGCCCTATGTCAACCCGTAACATAATGCCTTCATCGCTTAGGGCTTGAGGTATGCTTTCAAGGTTTCCTTTAAAGGGTTCCTTTAAGGGTTCCTTTAACAGTTCCTTTAGGGGTCCCTTTAAGGGCTCTCCTTTTAAAGGGCCTAAGTGGCAGGTCAATAGCCTGGGGGCCGACGCTTCCGACGTCGCAGCTTCGCAAGGAGGTGACCGACCGCTTTGGCATCAACAGGTGGGGGTTTAGTGTGTATATATATATATATATTTTATTTTTTTTTTTTTTTTTGGGGGGGGGGGGTGTTTGTTCTCCTTTTGTGCATGATGTTTGGGGGATGGGTGGGTGGATTGGTAGGGGGTATCATTTCTTTTCTCTTTAGTTGTTGTTTGGGTAAGGGCTTCTATGCAGGCATGAAGCGGCGGTGTTGAAGGGACTAGTGACTGGGGTATTTGAGGTTTGGCGGTTTAGGTCTTTTGGTTGAGGTCCTAAAGGGTGGAAGGGTTTGGTGTTTTGTTTCTTGTCGGGGTTGGTGTTGAAACGGTTTTATTCCGGACGGGTTCGTGACTGACCCAATTCGTGCTACAAAGGGTTTAGTTTTTTAAACTTAAGTTTGGGATCTTCAGGCTTAGGCCTTCGGGGACTGGGGGGGCCTTAGGCTGCTTCATGTGCCGAAACCAGATATCCGAAACACAAAGCCCTAAACGCGAGGCCCTTCACCCGAAGTGCAAAAGCATGAGCTCTTAAGCGCTGGGAGCTTCCGGAGTTCAGGACCGTTCCAAAACGGAGCTGCGAGGTCTTTCTGTTCAGGTTCAGGGCCATGAAACCTTAAGCCATAAAGAAGTCGCAGCTTGCAGCCTCTGGGAAAAAGGAGTCCAAGAAAAAACAGAAGCCGGCGTGAAGCAAGGAGGCTGCGAGTGCTGTACAACTTGAATACCACTGTTTTCGAGGTACTTGTTCTTTACTTAGGAAGTCCCCCAACATCTAGGTAGGGCCTCTGGAAGGAGTTTCAAGGTCTGGGTGTGCTATAGTGTATTTAGCATATTATCGTACGTCATAGTCTGTTATTGTACCCTCTATTACATTATAAGGACTTCGAATCTTGAATACAGTATTAGAGCGTATTTAGTACATTATCGTACTTTATAGTTTGTTATTTGTATCCTCTATCACATTATAATAAACTGGGGGAGCTTGCAGCTGAACCGTCGCAGCATAAGATTTTTGGAAGGCTCCCCATGCGAGAAGCCAAAAACCGACGAGCTTCGGAGCCCCTGGGTAGGAGCCCCTAAACCCTAAACCTCCCAACCCCAAACCCTAAACCTTCAAAGGCCTATTCAAAAAAAGGGCTTGTTCAACTTCTATTCAACTTCTTGAGGCCCGAACAAGCAACCCCCAAGACCCTAAACCCCACAAAAACCCCTAAACCCTAATAGGGGGGGGGGGCTTAATGATTACCTGTACTATTTTTTTTGGGGGGTCCGTATTACAGTTATAGTACAACACACCCCCAAAACCCTGTTCTAACTATTAAGGCCCCTGTATATAATTCAAAAAGGCTTGTTGTACCTTTTTGAGGCCCGAAAAAATTAGATTGAGCAGACCTCCCAGGTCTCTTTGGCTTTTCTCCGGCGACCTCCCGATGGGCCCGACCTCCAAGGCCGGCCAGGGTCTCGAGCAGTTTCAGTTTGGTCTTTAGGGTTTAGGGGTTTAGGGGTTGGGGTTTAGGGTTTACGGTTTAGAGTTTAGGGTCCACGGGTTTAAGGGTTTAGGGGTCCAGGATTTTGGGTGTGAAGGGTTTAGCGTCCAGGATTTTCGGTGTCTAGGTGTTCAGTTCAGGGAATTCCAGAATAAACCGTAAACGTCAGGCAAGGCCCCCACCCACTAATAGTGACATATACTGGTAGGCAGCTATATCCGGGTCCCTCTGTAGTCCCATTTTCTGTGATGTTCCAAATCAGCTGCCTATACCCGGCCCATACCCTGAACAGTACTTGACAAGTCGAAGGAGCTGAGCATCTAGACACCATATGCCTCGCGCAGCAGAGAAGGCTTCAATACGAGCTGAGAGAGGCGCACTACCCACCAATTGCGGATGATACTGTAAGTAATGGAGAACCACTGTCCAACATGCCTCTGGTTTTCAATCTAGTAGGGTTTATGGTAAGAACTTAACACTGAGTGAGTAATGTTTCCTGTAATGAACGACTGCTGGAAGAAACATGGTGAGTGTATATGCATGTGCTGTACGTACATGCTGACATGTTGTGCACCGTGGACAAGTAGGTGCACTGTTGTTTACATCTCTTGCGGCTTATGTGCCTATCAATGAGCCTATCAACCAATCAAATTATCTGTCTATCTATCTGCTGGTCTTTATCTGCTGGTCTTTCTATCTACCTTTCCATCTATGAATCTTTGCCAATTGCAGCTGGCCATCTATCCATTCACCAATCTCTCGGTCTATCTACCTACTCAGCTACTTATCTATCTGTGTATCTAGCTATCTATCTGCCTAACTATCTATCCATCTATCTAGTTGTCTAGCTATCGACCTTCTACCTACCCATCAATGTATCCCTCCGTGAAGCTATTTATCTATCAATCCTTCCATCTACCCACGTATCTGTCTGTCTATCTAGCTATCCGTCTATCTATCTGTCGATTTGTTTTTTACTCATCCGTCTAACCATCTGTCCATCTATGCAGCTATTCATCTATCCATGTATCTATCCATGTATCTATCCATTAACCTGCCCATCGATCTAATTACCTATCCGTCTACCTATGCTCATCTATACATCCATCTACTCATGCATCTATCCATCTATCCACCTATCGACCCATGGATTGATTGGCCTCTCTGTCTCACTCTGTCTCTCCGTGTGTCTCTCTGTCCCACTCTGTCTCTCACTGTCTGTCTCTCTCCGCCTGTCTCTCTCTCTCTCTCTCTCCCTCTCTCTCGTGTTGTATAAATCGGTGTTACACATACATACATATCTATATCTATATATATATATATGTATATGTACATATATACATACATATCTATATCCATCTATATATTATATATATGTAACTATATATACACATGTTTTTATATATTCAAATGAACGTCTCATCCACACTTATGGTCATCATGGTCATCATCATGGCCATCAGCATCACCATCCTAATCTTTGACCGCCGTGAGCGTTTTTGCTAGGCAAGCGCGGCACCGCTCACATGCTGGGAGCTTCTGAAGCCTCTTGTGCTGGACTAAAGCTGGACTTACGTCTTTTCGCTTTGTTTTCTTATACATCGGAGATCAGAGTTTCTTCTTACAGGCCCTGTGCATCTAGGATCCTACAAGACCATGTGTTGCTTAACCTAGGCTCCCTTAGTTTTTTGCAGCTAGAGATCCAGTGGGCCCCGACCCTCTCTGAGGTACATGGACGTCATGTACGCGCCAGTCCAAGATATCCCAAGGTTTATGAAAGTCCCGGGTGAAGATCGGACCTTGAACCGCGGCCAGCTGGAGGTGGCTGCAGCTGTCTACAGCACTTGCTTAGACCCTATAAACCCTCCATCCAACCCTGAACCCTGAACTCCAAACCCTAAACCCTAAAACCCTAAATCCTAGACCCCAAACCCCAAACCCGAAACCCTATACCTACCCTCAAACCCTGAACCCCAACCCAGAGGTGGCTGCAGCTGACTACACCACCGGCAAGGCCTGCAGCTTCTGATCCGACTCTCACGTCAGCATGCTACCCGGTCTCTCCTGGTTTCGGTAGGATGAACTTTTGGAGGCGTTAGGATTCATAGGGTTTTTGGGGCTTTGGGGTTTAGGGTTTCAGCTCTTGTCCAAGGCTTTTGTTTATGTAGGGTTGAAACTCAGACTTTCTAGAAGCTGTCGGATGACAGCATGAGTTTAAAGCTGTCCATCGTCCCTACGGTTTGGGTTAGTGCTGTAATGTTCAGGCTTCTTGTTTGTGTGTGTGTGTGTGCGTGTGCGCGTCCCGTAAACTTCGTCTTCTAACTCTCTGAGCAGCTCCACTGCTATCAATCAATATGTTACCAGTACCCTGTTTCACATTGCCAATACCGTAGATCCTAAACTCCGCGACCGGCAATCCACACCTTAAGCCCGTAGCATTAAAGAACTCCTACCTTCTATCCTAAACCAGAACCCGAAATTTAGGGTTTGAGTAGCGACCCTAGGAATACCCGAACTTACTTAAGGCCGGCGGTTCCTGAGAACCACGAAGCTCTACCGTTTCAACGCCTTCTGTTGATACGGCCTAACAGTAGGAATCCCAATATCAAGGCCCTTTTAGGAAACCCTAAACCCTAAAAACCCTCAGCACTATTATGAAACAGGGGTGTTCATCCTAAACATCTAAGACGCCCCCTGCTTTCCTGAGGCTGGCGGTATCTGAAACGGCACTGCTGGGCGGCGGCCAGCATCCCCTGCACCAAGAGATTGCGGCTCTAGCGCATGCGGTGGCCTCCCCGGAGCATCTCCGCTTGCTCTAGATAGTTTTCTTTTTTGGGTAGTGCGCTTTTGCAACAAGGGGCTTCTACAGCTTTTTTTTGATATACGTAGTGAAATTCGAAGCGCTTTTGAAGGACCTCCTGAGTTTTAGAGGGGCTCTACAATCTTTTTTAAAACGGTCACATTTACACACAGAAAGAAATCATGCGAATAAGTGACAGTGATTGTTTCTGTTATTCCTTGTTGAAGAGGTGCGGGGCTCCAGGCTCAGAGATAGCGTTTTACCCTTGCCCAACAACTTGGAGGTGCTAGAGAATTTTAATACGTTTTGTGCTGATTAGATCATTCGTCCCTGGATCTTTACGTCCCCGGTTCATAAACCTTACTGTAAACTCCATAAACCCTCCAGTGTAGGGTTCCAGGGTTTAGGGTTTAGGGTTTAGGGTTTGCCCTGGAGGAACGCCGCAAAGATTTTGGTAGCACGCGAAGCTCTTTTGGCAAAGAGCAACGAGCACGTGCTGCTCGACACAGCCGGAATCATCGGTTTCTTTGCGACCATCACTGTGGTGGTGGACTTCGCGGGCCACTACAGCGATGACATCCTCAAGAAGACAGAGATGATGGTCCAAAGCTCGGTCTTCTCAGCTTTGCTGCCAAGCTCTTTTCTGCCTTAGTAAACGAAACTGTAGGATGTAGCAAGCAAGCTGCGTTGCAACTGTTCCCCCCCCTCCTCCGGCCTCCTCGCCTCCCGCTCCCGCGCCTCTGCCTCCTCCTGCTCCTCCTCCTCCTCCCTTCTTATGCCTTGGGCCGATGCTTGTTGCTGTGATGTTGATGATGTCGGCAATCGGCGATGACGAAGGCCGAGTGTGATGATGATGTTCCCTTTCAACCTCTTCGCCGAGTCGTGTGGTGGTGGTGGCGGTGGTGGTGGTGGGTGGTGCGGGTTGGGGTTTCGGGCCTGGGGTTTGGGGGTGTGGTGGCAGTGGTGGTGCGATGACGGTGATAACACAACTTCGCAAACCGTGGAAGAGTGGCCGCAGCCTCAGCCTGACCTGAAAATCTAAGCCTCAAGCCCTAAATCCTGAATTCTCAATCTGAATCACTGAACCCTAACTCCCATTTTCCAAAATTACCCCTAACTCCATTTTTCCAAAATTACCCCTAACTCCATTTTTCCAAAATTACCCCTAACTCCCTAAACTCCTAAGCCTAACATCCAAAGCAAGGCTGCAGTTATCTCCGGTGGCCGACGCTTTCGTGAGACTCTGCGGTCAAGCCTCTGTCTTCCGGGGGCCGCGAAGTTTTAAATCATAGGAGGCCAAAAGGGGGTTTAGTAGGGATTAGGGTTCCCATAATAGGGTTCATATTCAGGAATCCCTACCCCAAGAATCTTAAACCGCCCTTTTGGCCTCCCATCATTAAAGCAGCCTGGGATTCGAGGGCTTTGAACGGGTTTATAGGGTTCTTTCTTGTAAGGGTTTCGAAGGGGTTTTGAGAGGGTTTATAGACTACGGGTTTAGGTCTCTGGCACTTCATCCCAGGAAGTTGAAGCGGCGCAGTTGCGGCTGCACGTGTGCAGGAGTGGGCTGCACCCCTCTTTTCTCCCAAAAGGGGCGGGGAAAGGCGTGCTCCTAGTCCAAGCCTGGCAGTGCGGTCCTTCAGACACCGCCATGTCGAACCCGACGGAACGTCCGCCGGGGTTTGCCTCAGTATGAGTCCCCTTTGTCCCAGACCGAACGGGTGATGCGCAGGCTACAGAAGCCTTAAACTGAAAACCCAGTAGCCCTAAACCTGAAGGTGTAGTGTAGTTGCTTCGAGAGCCAGGGCAAAGGGGGTCCCTGAGGCAGGAATCCCGGCTGAATCGGGAGGAATTCACCAGATCTAGGAAGAGGTGGGTTTTGGGGTTAAGGGGTTACTGTAAGGTTTATTTCAGTTTTTTGTTTACGAGGTTTCGGTCTATTGAGTTTTGGTGGCGTTGAGAGGCAGCTTCGGGATCTGGTCGTGCATGATTTTTGTGCACCGTGCTGTGCGGGTGTTGCATGCTGGAATTCCGGGGGTGTGAGATGGACTCCCTGCAATGCTTGCGCATGAAGCAGTGCAACTGAGCCTCTGAGGGGAGCTGGCCATGTTACACGATTCTTGCAGTTTAGAGCATCGGTTCACCCTCTACCCCAAACATCCCTGAAATCTAGATCCCCGAAGAGGCTCAGCAAGTTGCCTTGCTGAAATGCAGGCATGTGTGGCTGAGCTCATCCCATGCTGTCCGGAAGATGGTAGCATCTAGAGTTCAGAAAGGCTGAGCGCAAATTTCTTCAGGGCAACCAGACGCTGTTGTCAGGAGGGCAGAGTGCGGAAGAAGACGAATGCCGACCACAATGCTCCCAAGTTCACGTGTTAAACATTCGGCAGCTAACCTTGCAGGCTGCGACTTCAAAACCGCCCCATCGAAACCAAGAGTTCGGTGCTGTCTATTTATGGCATAAGGTGTAGGCACATACATGCACTGGAGAAAGCACAAATCGAGTCTGACACCAGCGGCAGCTCAGATCAGAAAAGCTGCGGAACCCTCCAAAGCAGATGCTAGAGAAGTACCCTACCCTAAACCCTAAACCCTAAACCCTAAACCCTAAGCCCCAAGCTTGAATCCTACAGTCCAAATCCGAAGTCCTGGGCAGAAACCCCCCCACGGCCCGAGAACCCAAGCCGTAACGCCGTAAACCATATGGGAGTTTCCGAAAATTAGGGGTACCTTATTTTGGGGGTCCTTGTAATAAGGAGCCTATTATTTAGGGTACTATATTTGGGTCCCCAACCATATCCCCAGAGAGCCCAATACCCCTTAATTAAGGAATGTAGCTCAAATCATAATATGAACCCCCTTATACGATATTCCTTAATTAAGGGGTATTGGGCTCTCTGGGTCTCTGTGGCTCCAGTACTTTGCAACGTACTCCCATGACCCTTGTTTGGCTTAGGGTTTGGGGTGCTCGAGCTTGTTCCGAGCAGCAAGCAATTAATTAGTGGCAACACCTGCAGCACCGGCAAGTCCTTAACGCCAGATGAAGTGCTGCAGTTGCGGCTGCACTTGTGCAGGAGTGGGCTGCACCCCTCTTTTCTCCCAAAAGGGGGGGATAGGTGTGCTCCTAGTCCAGGCCTGGCAGTGCGGAGACCTTTAGACTGCTGCTGCAGCCACCATGTCAAAAGCGGACGGAACCTTCGCAGGTTACAGACGGGTGGTTGTCAAAATTATGGTCCCTTCTTGGGCCCCTGCTATAGTACGGCACCTATTATTTAGGGTACCGCAAAGGGGACCATAATTTTGCAACTACCCATATCGGGCCTTGAGCGTTGTGGGTCAGAACCCCCAAACCCTAAACCGATCCAGGAAAGGAACTGTAGCTGGAACTTGCGGGGAGGAGCATTCAGGCCTCCACGAAGCCGAAGCAACCCTGAGAGGTTTAGGGTTCAGGGTTAGGGGGTTTAGGGGGTTTAGGGGGTTTAGGGGTTTAGGGGGTTTAGGGGGTTTAGGGTTTAGGGTTAGGGTTTAGGGGTTTGGGGTTAACAGTTTAGCGATGTGTGTGCCGAGATCGGTGCAGGCTTGGTCTTGCTGCATTGGTGCAGTTGTCTCTGAATGTTCAAACCCACTTCGAGGATCATGGGACTTAGTAACTAGGGTTACTATTAAGTTATGACTACTTATAGCCCCAATTAAGTTACTTATAACCATACTTACTATGTCCCATGATCCTCCAAGTACATAACCCAATCGTCGCCTTCAACAACTGGGTTGTCCTTTGGGATCTTTTTTTAATTTCCCCTACTATTTTGTAGAGAACCATAATAGTAGATAATTTTCAAAGGGCTTGAAGGACAACTCAGACAAACCAAGGTGTTGAGGGTTTGGGGATCCTCGTGCCCAGCTCTCCAGAGTTTAGATGACAAAACCCTACGCAACCGCGGTATAAAAGACCCTATGAAAACCTATGAAGCCTTGCAGAATATCTTGTTGACAATCTGCGGACCCCAAGCCCTAAAGTCCTAAACCTGAATCCGAAAGCCCGCAGCCAGGCGGAGGTGATTCCGCCCGCGGAAGGGGACTGGATGCTTGGCAGAAGCCACGGGGTCCTTGCTCCTGTGTTTCGTAGGTTCTTCTCGGGGGCTTGATGGATTTTCCAGGTTTTGGGATTCTGGCATCCGGAGTTCGGGTTGGGTAGGCCCCAAGCTCGGTGCCCTAAGCCCCAAGCCCTAAGACCCTCTCAGTAAGGGACCCTGGTAAGCCCTAGTAGCCGTAGTACCACATGGATCACAAACAGCAGGATTCATATTTTCAGGCCCTTAGTACAGCTAATATATACCCATTACATAGCCCACTGTAGGGTAGGGGTCCCCATTAAGGGTCCCTCCTTTTCCCCTTGGAGTACCACTACTTCTAGAGCCTAGGGCGGCTCTGCAGGGCTTAGCTCATGGGGGAGTTTCCGAAAATTAGTTGTACCTTATTTTGGGGTCCTTATAATAAGTATCCTACTGTTTAGGGTACTATATTAGGGTCCCCTATTTTCGGAAACCCCCATGTCACTATGCTTCAGCGCCTGGAGGGGAGCGCCTGGAGTGGAGACGCTTGGGATTTTAGGCTTCAGCTCCGGGCATTTCTGCCTTGCGGGTGTAGGGGTTTAGGGGTTTAGGGGGTTTAAGGGGGTTTAGAGTTTAGGCGGTTAGGGAGTTTAGGGGGTTCAGGGGGTTTAGGGGGTTTAGGGGGTTAGGCTTTAGGGGTTTACGGAACCTCACCCCGAAGCCCCCAATCAAAGGAGGTTGGGCCGGCGCGAGAAGCATTGTGTCAGGGGGTCGACGCTTTTCGCAAGGGTGTTGTAGGGATTTCGGAGAGTTCTTTCGGTTTCGCTCGGGCTCATACAGGTTTAGTAGGGATTCATAGGGGATTTATGGGGATTCCTGATTTCTTACACACATCTTCCCACGACTTGGGTCGTAGATCCTGAACCCCGAACCCGAATGTCGAAGCCCACTTTTACATCCAGAGACTACATGAGCCCACTGTTAGGCACAAAGTAAAACCAGTAATGATAATCCTGGTAACAAAAAATTCGATAGCATTCACAATTGAAGCCATAGTTATCATAAGAATCCTGGTAATCATAGTCATTAGAATCCTCATAATCATCAGAACAATCATAGCCTCATAGCCATAGATAGTCATAATAATCGTCAAAAAGTCATATCGTAAGCATAATCATACAAAACCCTAAACCCTAAACCCTACACCCTAAACCCTAAACCCTACACCCTAAACCCTAAACCCTAAACCCTAAACCCTAAACCCTAAAGCCTAAACCCTCGAAGCGTGAGCCCCAGGATTGATGTGGAGTGGCCTTGCCAGGCCTCCGGCAGCTTCTCATGGTTTGCGGAACTTCGGGGTGCAGGGGTTCAGGCATAGGGCAGAAGTCGTTCTGGGTTTAGGGTTTAGGGTTTATAACTGTGATGGTTTCTCATGGTTTAGGGGTTTGTTGAGTTCAGAAGTTGAGGCTGCGCTCGTGGTGCATGGTAAGCCTCTCGCAGGGTATTCCTCTTTTATATGCAGGGTGCGGGCCCAGGTCGCGCATTTAGCTACAACCAAGAGGTGTGGGGCTGCCTCTTTCGCCACCTTACACCCGCCAGGCAACCATATAGCAGCCCCGTACAAACCCATGCAACCATCACGTCAGATCATGCTAAAACCTCATACGACGGACCTCCCTGTAAGAGCCTCTCCACAACCGCTACACAACCCTAAACTCTAAGCCATGAACCCTAGACCCTAAACCCTAAACCCTAAACCCCAAACCATGAACCCTAAACCCTAAACCCCTAAACCCTAAACCCTGAACCTTTTGAGCCTACGAGCCCATGCCTTCCACCCGACTCAGCGGAGAGGCCGAGGAGGGCGGCGCAGTGGCGAAGTCGGGGTCCCAGAGAGAAGGGAACGGTTGATGATATAAATCCTGCATTACCCATAACAAGGAATATACCATAATTCCCATAGTCTAGGGTCCTTAAGGTCATGCAGGATTTATATCATCAACCGAAGGATCGTGGCAATCTCGATTACTAGGATGCCCAGTAGTACCCTTAGGGATCTATAAGGGTTCCTTAAAGGGATCTATAAGGGTTCTATAAAGGGTTTAGGGTTTCCGAAAATTAAGGGCTAGGATACCCAGTAGTACCCTTATTCCCTTTTTGTAGTCCTAGGTTCCTTATAAAGTTACCCAATACCAAAAAGAGAGGCCTTTTTACTGGGTATCCTAGGAAGGGAAGGATCGTGGCAATCTCGATTTAGGCTTTAGGACTAGGAGTTTGAGGGTTTAGGGTGAGGGGTTTAGGGAATAAGGGTTCTTTGGAGTTTTAGGGTTTGAGGGTTGAGGTCTAAAGGTTAGGGGTTTAGGGTCGAGGGCTTAGGCTTTGGGGTTGAGGGGTATAGGGTATGTTAGGGGTTTTGGGGTTCAGGGGTTTAGGGATTTTTGGAGGTTCAGGAGTATGTAAGAAAGACCTTTATGTCAGGGGTATGGGGTCTAGGAGTTTAGGGTTTACGGTAACAGGGTTTGAGGTTTAGGAGGTTGGTGGTTTGGGCATTTGCAGCATTGTGAAACACTCCTGGGTTTCAGGTCCCCGTGTAGTCCTTGCAAAAACACACTACGACCTCTCCCAACACTCTTTCAGTTGTGAGGTTAAGACCACGATCTACAGCGATTTTGTGATTGTACTTTGAGGTTACTCACCCCAAACCCGAAATCCGAAACCCTAAACCCCAGTCAAAAACCCTAAACCATGAACCCCAAGCGCTAAAGCAAAAGCGTTTCAAAACCTACACAAGTGCCCCAAAACCCTAAAAAGACACATGCTGGCCTGTAAACCCTCAACACAAGATCCCTAAATGTGACACTAAGCCATGAGGCCCTAAAGCCGCCACGAAGCCTGAGGATATGGTTCAAGGTGCTGGTCGCCGCGGTGGATTTGCAGAGGTGCCATGGATGTGGGTTTATGACAACTGGGGCTTAGCGTTTCAGATCTATAGGACTTGGGGCGTCTTTAAGGTTCACGGTTTTGGGCTCAAGCAGAGCTTTGGGCTTTGGGGTTGAGGGTCCATCTTGGATGCAGGTTACGTAGTATCCCTAAGGCCTAGGCGTACAACCCAACAGCCGACCTACCGAAAACTCAACCTTAATGCCCTGGATCCGAAATTAATGTTTGGCCGACAAAAGTTGGCGGTTGTCGTCCTTCGGGGTGTGTGATATAACATGATATAGCTATGATGTAAGAGCCCTCGTATGGACCACCTCTTGAGCTCTAAACCAGAAGCCTGAGCATGTGAACTCGTAAGCTTAGCTTGTCTGATGCTGCAGGGATTCGGGGCTTCCGTGGTGGGATCGGGGTGTAGCGTGCACGGTTCAGGGTTTAGGGCTTTTTCCATTCGGGCTTGCACCACCTCGAGCTGTATGGTTGCATGATCTGGTTTTTCATACCTACTTGGCCCATAAGCCCAATCCAAGCCCTAAGCTCTAAACCCTGAACAAACTACACAAGACAACTTGTTCAATGCCCCCTCCCAAATCACGTGCCAAAGGAGCAAATATCTTCTGCGCTTTTCAGATGGCGAGGACGACAGTATGAAACCTCATGCAGGGCTTGAGGTCAACGTAGTTGCTTTGCAGGGTTTAGGTCTCAGGGACCCGTAATGGTATGCAGGGTTGAGGGTTTAAGGTAGTAGCTTCGGTTCTCAGGCCGGGGTGGTTGTCAAAATTATGGTCCCTTTTTGGGTCCTTAATATAATACGGCACCTAATATTTAGGGTGCCCAGAAAGGGGCCCTAATTTTGAGAACTAGCCATGTGTGTGCTCGATGTTGAGACTTGAGACATGATTGGTTTGGACAGCAGGAAAGTAGAACGTCCGTTTGGACTTTGGTTGTTGTCGTTGCCGAGGTTGTTGGGGATGATGGTGACGATGACGACGACCATGATGTTGCCCATGGTAATGTTGGTGATGGTGAAGAGAGGGTTGAAAGTCTGATGTCTCGCTGACATGCTTCGTGCCATGGGTCGCCTGTGAAACTTGAGCCTAAACCCTAAACCCTAAACCCTAAACCCTAAATACTCTTTATCATATAGTAATTTAAACCTTAGTGGATTTCGTGGGATAGGCACAAATTTGTGCCTACTCTTCGTGGGACAGGCCCGTCCCACGCAAAAGTAGGCCCAAACCCACGAATTTGTGCCCACCCTTTCGCGGGACAGGCCCGTCCCACGAAGAGTAGGCCCAAACCCACGAATCTGGGCCTACCCTTTCGTGGGACAGGCCCGGGCCCGTCCCACGAAAAGGTAGGCCCAAACATGGGCCCGAATTTGGGCCTCCTTTCGTGGGACAGGCCCGGGCCCGTCCCACGAAAGAGTAGGCACAAACCCACGAATTTGGGCCTACCCGTTCGTGAGACAGGCCCGTCCCACGAAGAGTAGGCCCAAACCCACGAATTTGGGCCTACCCTTTCGTGGGACTACCCTTTCGTGGGACAGGCCCGGGCCCGTCCCACGAAAGAGTAGGCACAAACTTGGGCCTACCCGTTCGTGGGACAGGCCCGTCCCACGAAGAGTAGGCCCAAACCCAGGAATTTGGGCCTACCCTTTCGTAGGACAGGCCTATTTCCAGCTGTGAAAGAAGTGAAACCTTGTATTTCCGTGATGTTATGGGATTCTGAGGGTGGGTGGGTGTTATTTCTAAACCGTAAACACAACTCTACTTTAAAACTGCTCGATCCGGAGCTGCTGAACCCTAAACCCTAAACCCTAAACCCTAAACCCTAAACCCTAAACGCTAAAAACAAGACGTGCCTTGTCTCTGTGTAGACTGATGCCTGCCAGTTTGTCGAGCATACGGATCCATTGTCTGCTGTCACCGCCGGCTCGCTGTACAATTTTGGGTGTTTAAGTGTTAGAATATGACAAATTGTCTAGTGTTTAATGCAGTATATAGTATATCTTTTAGGGTATTAAAGCAAGATTAACGCATTCTTATACTAGGACAATTTTGGGTGTTTCAATGCTATAGTATGGTATACAGTCTAGTTTGTAATCTAGTATCTAGTATATTTGAGAGTATTGAGTCCCGTCTGTCACCTTGTAGAATGTTGTAGAATGATGATCTCTCAGAGCCACTTTTCCAAGGTGCCGGAGGGCATCTCACGGAGCCTCTTCTACGATGACGACTGGAGTGCCAATGAGAGGCTTAGCGATAGGACTCTGTGGGTGTTTTCAGCTGCGTATCAGCAAAGCCAACCGGCAGCAGAGGCAAGTTGCTGACAACACAGATCCGCGCAATTGGCGCCAAGAAAGCATGAATGACATCTTTTTTTTTCATTTGAGTTCAGGAGACACTTGCCTTCAGGCTTCTGTCTCGTCCTTTACATTCTGTTCCGCAGGCTTTTCGGTTCTCAGAGCAATACCAGGCAACGCACAAAATCCGGAATTGTCAAAGGCCCGGTTACCTGGGACCAGGGAGAGAATTGCATCTTGCCGACTGACTACAGGTCACCCACAAGGATGAATATGCACACGCAGACTTCCACGCAGACTTCTTCGCATGGTCGGCAGGACTGTACCGCACCGCACTCCGCACTCTGGCTGCTGTGCATGTGCTTTGACTGCTAAACAGATGGCCATGCTGCCTCTGCATTGGCAGCCGGGGGATGAAGGTGTGGGTATGGAGATTCAGTGAGATTCGGTGCAGTTATCCCCGTGCATGCCACGAGGTGGAGGAGTTACCCTATGGAGCAAGCCCGTGCTCGTCTACGTGCCCCCATCTCACACAGAAGGCCATGCCACTTGGTGCCTCATACGCGTGTGCCTGCGACTCGTAGCCAGGAGCCGAACGGATCTCGGTGTGCGGGTCGATTGCGGCCCTCCCAGGGGTGATCGTAAGCACGGTAATCATGATAACGTATAGATGCTCGCCGAGGTCTTGAAACTCCAGCAGCCCTTGCTCTGGCAGATGCCGAGCCGTGATGGCAGCCTCTACTTGCCAGTAAGACCGTGTCTGCGAGGTATGCGCATCAGCCCTAGTCCCTACTGAGTCATGCTTCACAGGCTGCAAAAAAATGCCCTGAAAGCACGAGTCTCGTTTCGCATCCAAAGCTCCTTGGGGCGCAAATAGAGGTGCACATTGAAGCAGACATACAAGAGCTGACCTTGACTCGTAGTGTCTGCTCAAGCATTGCATTGTGGGGGTGCCCTCAAAGTAGAGATGGAGCCGACTAGTATTATGGAACGTTTCCTAGACAAACAAAGGCCAGGGGGGAAATACTGTCCCCCACCAAACCAGCTTGAAACCTTCAGGTTGGCACAGTGGCACGGTCAGAAGCTCAGACGATGCTGCCCAGGATTGACTGACAATCGAAAAAATAACTTGTGAGGTGGTGGACCAATCCATAGATGCGTGGAGCCCAGTCGTGAATTCCAAGTCTTCTGTCTTTAGCATACGCTTCTCGCCCGAGGTGGCTTGCTGGCCATCTGGAGATTGGAGGGTCTTGGGTGGAACATCTTCTGCAAGGTGAAGGCCAAATTGCACCTTGTCTTGCAGCTTGAATTGCAATAAAAGAGCCCTGGGCAGGAGCAGTCAGACCTTCAAGGCCAGCAGCTACTCAACCTGGTACGGAAGGCCCGCAGCTGCAACTTCACAACGGGCATAATGTCAGTGGACCAAGGTCCGCGAATTACCGTTGAAGAGGCGGATCCTGGCAAGGTTTCAATGGACGTGCCGAGAGCTGAGGCAAGCCATGGACCTCAAACAATGAGCATCTTGAGCGGATCTCAGGCTTTCAGGACCCAAAGAGCGCCCGTCTCTGGTGGTGGGAAGCGGCCACCGGCTTTGCCTGCTGGGAAGAGGAGAAGTGGACAGTTTGGGACGAAGTGCAGTTGCGGCTGCTGAGATTGTGAGGACATCTGAGATGATCCATCTGAGATGAGGCGACGTGCTTGATGACACAAGAGACAAAAATTACCCCGTGCCATGGGAACGTTTTATTCCGCGATTATTACAGCAATGCCATTGAAGCAAGCATTCCATTAAGACAAGAATCCCCGCCGCAGCTTTTGCTTTCTCCTTTCAAAGGAAAGAAGATGTCTTGTAGCTTTTCGTATGCTTCTCATACAGCTCCTCTATGTCTGGCTGCAGCATCCGGGGCGAACCTTGAAGGAGGCCCTGTCACAAACATTCAAAGCTTTCAGCGCACATGCAAGAGTAGCAGGTGAAGAAAAAAGCTGGTCTTGGAGATGAACCTCTAACGGCAGAGGAGCGCCATTTCTTTGGCGCTCACGTGTTGAGAACAGAGGCACGGAGAGTGAATGTGTGGTGACCCTTAACGCTGTATCTGGCAGCAGGCTATCGTCTTGGCTGATGCGCTGGCGAATTTGCTGTTCCTCAACTATGCAGGGGGGGTACCTGATTCCAATGTGCAGGCGCTGGACAACGTCCTTGCAATGCAATTCCCTAGCTCCCCGAGTCGCATGTGCAGGTTCTGGATCACGTCCTGGGCGCCTTGCAGCTGCATCTTCCATTGGACTGTCGTGAACAGCTCCTGAATGCAATGGCCAAGTCCGAATACAGCTGCTTAGCCCGCAAGAAAAGAGCACGGCGAGCACGCCAAAGACTTGGAGAAAATTCATCTCCTAGCGCAAACACAGTGCCCAGCTGTAGATTTTGGCCGACCGAGCCCCATGCTTCGAATCCAAGTGGGAGCTGCTGTTGACCTGGGATCTTCGGCTAAAAACAAGACGTGCCTTGTCTCTGTGTAGACTGATGCCTGCCAGTTTGTCGAGCATACGGATCCATTGTCTGCTGTCACCGCCGGCTCGCTGTACAATTTTGGGTGTTTAAGTGTTAGAATATGACAAATTGTCTAGTGTTTAATGCAGTATATAGTATATCTTTTAGGGTATTAAAGCAAGATTAACGCATTCTTATACTAGGGTAATTTTGGGTGTTTCAATGCTATAGTATGGTATACAGTCTAGTTTGTAATCTAGTATCTAGTATATTTGAGAGTATTGAGTCCCGTCTGTCACACTTTACCAAGGTGCCGGAGGGCATCTCACGGAGCCTCTTCTACGATGACGACTGGAGTGCCAATGAGAGGCTTAGCGATAGGACTCTGTGGGTGTTTTCAGCTGCGTATCAGCAAAGCCAACCGGCAGCAGAGGCAAGTTGCTGACAACACAGATCCGCGCAATTGGCGCCAAGAAAGCATGAATGACATCTTTTTTTTTCATTTGAGTTCAGGAGACACTTGCCTTCAGGCTTCTGTCTCGTCCTTTACATTCTGTTCCGCAGGCTTGTCACCCACAAGGATGAATGTGCGCACGCAGACTTCCACGCAGACTTCTTCGCATGGTCGGCAGGACTGTACCGCACCGCACTCCGCACTCTGGCTGCTGTGCATGTGCTTTGACTGCTAAACAGATGGCCATGCTGCCTCTGCATTGGCAGCCGGGGGATGAAGGTGCGGGTATGGAGATTCAGTGAGATTCGGTGCAGTTATCCCCGTGCATGCCACGAGGTGGAGGAGTTACCCTATGGAGCAAGCCCGTGCTCGTCTACGTGCCCCCATCTCACACAGAAGGCCATGCCACTTGGTGCCTCATACGCGTGTGCCTGCGACTCGTAGCCAGGAGCCGAACGGATCTCGGTGTGCGGGTCGATTGCAGCCCTCCCAGGGGTGATCGTAAGCACGGTAATCATGGTAACGTATAGATGCTCGCCGAGGTCTTGAAACTCCAGCAGCCCTTGCTCTGGCAGATGCCGAGCCGTGATGGCAGCCTCTACTTGCCAGTAAGACGGTGCCTGCGAGGTATGCGCATCAGCCCTAGTCCCTACTGAGTCATGCTTCACAGGCTGCAAAAAAATGCCCTGAAAGCACGAGTCTCGTTTCGCATCCAAAGCTCCTTGGGGCGCAAATAGAGGTGCACATTGAAGCAGACATACAAGAGCTGACCTTGACTCGTAGTGTTTGCTCAAGCATTGCATTGTGGGGGTGCCCTCAAAGTAGAGATGGAGCCGACTAGTATTATGGAACGTTTCCTAGACAAACAAAGGCCACGGGGGGAAACACGGTCAGAAGCTCAGACGATGCTGCCCAGGATTGACTGACAATCGAAAAAATAACTTGTGAGGTGGTGGACCAATCCATAGATGCGTGGAGCCCAGTCGTGAATTCCAAGTCTTCTGTCTTTAGCATACGCTTCTCGCCCGAGGTGGCTTGCTGGCCATCTGGAGATTGGAGGGTCTTGGGTGGAACATCTTCTGCAAGGTGAAGGCCAAATTGCACCTTGTCTTGCAGCTTGAATTGCAATAAAAGAGCCCTGGGCAGGAGGAGCCAGACCTTCAAGGCCAGCAGCTACTCAACCTGGTACGGAAGGCCCGCAGCTGCAACTTCACAACGGGCATAATGTCAGTGGACCAAGGTCCGCGAATTACCGTTGAAGAGGCGGATCCTGGCAAGGTTTCAATGGATGTGCCGAGAGCTGAGGCAAGCCATGGACCTCAAACAATGAGCATCTTGAGCGGATCTCAGGCTTTCAGGATCCAAAGAGCGCCCGTCTCTGGTGGTGGGAAGCGGCCACCGGCTTTGCCTGCTGGGAAGAGGAGATGTGGACAGTTTGGGACGAAGTGCAGTTGCAGCTGCTGAGATTGTGAGGACATCTGAGATGATCCATCTGAGATGAGGCGACGTGCTTGATGACACGAGAGACAAAAATTACCCCGTGCCATGGGAACGTTTTAATATTCCGCGATTATTACAGCAATGCCATTGAAGCAAGCATTCCATTAAGACAAGAATCCTCGCCGCAGCTTTTGCTTTCTCCTTTCAAAGGAAAGAAGAGGTCAACCCTAAACCACGAAGAGTTTGGGATTCCCAAACCTGTAAGCATAGAGCACTAAACTCGACGACCGATTCCCCAAAACCCTAAACACTTCAAACCCTCAAAGCCTGTGAGGCACTAAAGCCCCAGACGGCAGATCCCCTAAAGGAGCCCTAAACTCCCTAAGAGCCCCTGGTAGATCCTCAACCCTAAACCCCAAACCTCTAAACCCTAAACCCGAAACCCTAAACCCCTAAACTCTGAACCCCTAAACCCTAAACCCTAAACCCCTAAACCCTAAATCCCTGAATCCCCAGAGCCCTCCCTTCGAGGAGGCCTGGAACTCCCTCCGAAAGATCCCATGGCGCAGCGCTCCTGGGCAGGCGCAGGCAGAGCTTCTCCTTGAAGACTTGAAGTTTGGGTTGAGGGTTTGATATAGGGGCCTAATACATAGAATGGGGTTTTGGGGTATATCATACTATACTTATAATTAGGGCCCCCCAAACTAATATACTGAATTATTCAGGCTCCTGTAGCAGGTCCTGAACTCTTCCAAGCGAGTTTTGGTAGAGTGTTTAATTAGACAAGGCATATAGAACCCTGGACAAATCCTCATCTAAGCTCTTATAGAGCCTGGTTCAAACTCGTCGGCCTCCACATACCCCTAACCCCAAGCCCAACCCTACACCCTAAACCCGAAGCCCTACCAAAAAAACCCTGAACCCTAAACCCAAAGCCCTAAACCCTAAACCCAAAGCCCTAAACCCTAAAGCTCAAATCCAGAACCCGAAAGCCAGAACCCTGTACTACCTATACCTTACCCCCAAAACCCTGAACCCTAAATCCAGAACCCTAAAGCAGAATTCTCTACTACCTACACCCCAAGCTCTACACCCCAGAACCTCAAATCCAAAAACATAATTGTGTACAACCTATACCTAAATGCAAGGCCCTCAACCCCAAATCCAGAACCCCGAAAACTTATACTACCCATACCCTAAACCCAAAGCACTAAACAACTGGAAAAGAGGCGCTTAAAAAACAGCAAACCCCAAATCCAGCACCCTAAGCCCTAAACCAGAAGCCCCAAACCATAAACCCTAAACCAGAAACCCGAAACCCTGAACCCCGAATCCGGCGGAAGGAATCGGTGCCATCAGAGCCCCCCGAGCTCCAGGCCCGGACAAGCGAGCGCAACTTCGGGTTTTGGAGTTTTTTTGTTTGTGTATGGAGGGTTGAGGATTATCTAGGTTTGAGGGTTGAGGATGATCCAGGGTTTAGGGTGCAGGGTTTAGGATTGAGGATTAGGGTCTAGGATTCCGGTTTAGGGTTTCTGTAAGTTTCGTGCCATCTTGGAGGGCTCTGGTGGGTTTCGATGAGCTTCTCAGAAGCCTCGGATATGGTTAGGTTCGCAGACTATTTTCGCTTGTTGGAAGAAGGTTTCCCAAACCCTAAACCCCAATCCCTGAGCCCTAAACCGTAGAGCACCGTTTGAAATGGGCCCACCATTGCAGCCGAGGGGTTACTCAGGAACCTAGCAACAAATACAGTGGTTCAGCGACTGGCATTTTCTTGTAGGGTTCCTGTATAGCAATACCAAAATATGCCCCCAAACCCTATGCTAACTAATTATCCAGCCCCTATACCTTAAACCTTAAGCCAAACGCGTTTGAATCCCACACCCCGCAAGCTCTAACCCTAATACATGGGCCTGAAGAGTCAGCAATAATATGCCCACATGGGCTCTATATCACTGTTTCACAACATTCCCCGAAACCCTGTTTCAATGACTCGCTCTCCCCAAGACCCCAAGAGAATTGAATCCTGTAGAAGCCGTCATAAGAACCTCTTCAACAACCCTAAACCCTAAACCCTTGTTCTAATTGTTCAGGTCCCGATATTCCCCACCGAATCTGAACACCTACAGTCGAAAGTCCTAACCCTTTACCAAAAGCCCCAAACCCCAAGACAGCTGAAGCCCCCCCGCCCCCGAAAGCTAAACGCTCAAGCATAGAACTAATCCCTAGACCATACATAAAACTAAACCCTAGTTCCTCAACCCTATTCCCTAAACCCTATTCCCTAAACCCTATTCCCTAAACCCTAATCCCTAAACCCTAATCCCTAAACCCTAATCCCCAAGCCATAAGCCATAAAACTAAATCCTACACCCTGAAGCGAGGCCCTTAGCTCGAAAACTGAGCCCTCAAACCGAACCCTAAATCCTCGACTCTATACCCTCCTTGGAGGATCATGGGACTTAGTAAGTATGGTTTAGGGTTCCGTTTAAGGGAACTATAGGTTCTATAATCGGGTTCCTTAGAGGGATCTATAGGGCCTTTGAGGGATCAAAGTTAGGGCTAAGGGCCCCTTTTAAGGGATCTATAGGGGGGTACTAAGGGTATTATAAGGCTTTAGGGTCTACTTGGAGGATCATGGGACTTAGTAAGTATGGTTGTACGTACCTTAGTTAGGGTTAAAAGTAGTTATAAGTATAGTTACCTTAATAGTAAAATTGGGGATATAAGTTGTTATAAGTATGGTTACCTGAATAGTAACCCTAGTTACTAAGTCCCATGATCTTCCACGTAATTCCCCTTCGAATCAAGGATGCCAGCGGCTTCGTTCATTCCTTCACTATTGAGGCACCACCCGCTCGACATCCGCAATTCTTGGTCGAAGGGTCTTTATCGGGTTCTTTGAGGGTTCAGGGTCTGGGGTTCATGAGGGCTGCAAAGGGTACTAAACGCTTTGCTGTGACGGCTGACTGCAGCGTCTATCAGGAAGACTCAAGAGGTGCAGGTTTTTGGGTTTGGGGTTTGTGGTTTAGGTTTAGGAGGGGTCTCGGGTTGCTGGGGTTCTTCATGTTTCTTCTTACTTTGGCTTTCGGCGCTTTAGACGGGCCTCATCGAATCACGTCGATTAGGAGTATTTTGCTGTGCGCGAAGCCCTTGCAGAACGTGGGGTCTAGGGCTAAGGCTAGTATATCATGTAGAACTTTTTTAAATGGGTTTTTGGAGTTTCTAGGAGGTGGGTTCTGAGCTTGTGGGTATTGGGGGGTTTCATAAATGCGGGGGTCCTTGATGGAGGGCTCCTGATCATGGGGAACTTGCTTTTTCGGGTCTGCTTTAGGGGCCTTGCCACTATTCCCTATGGATCCTCTTTATTAAAACTGTGGCACTATATGGGGTTCCTTAGTATACTTATAGTATAATGGGCCCCAAAACCCTATTCTAACAATTAAGGCCCCTATATTAATAGACTCCTCCAACGCCGCACAGCAGATTATATTGGAGGTCCCGTCTCTCATGAAACCGCCACCGCATCTTAGCAGGACGAGTTCCTCGATTTCTGCGACGGCTTGCATGCGCATCGGCAGGAGTCTCACAGGGTTTGAGGGTTTAGGATGCGGAGAGATTTTCTGCTGTGGAGGTTTACAGGCGTCTAGACTCTAAGCCATCCCATACATTATGCCGCCCAAATCCTAGATCCTAAACCCCAAGCCCTAAATTCTGATGAAGCCTAAACTTCCACCACGGGAGCTCAGCAAAAGCATTCCTCAACCCCTCCACAAATGCTCGAAGCGAATGGACATTGAATCTCGAAAGTGAAAGTCCTGCGTGGGGCAATTTTCCAATCAGGGCAAGGGGGCATGAGACAGGGTTGGCGGTTTAGGGTTTAGAGTTTGGCAGGAAGGACAGTAGGGCTGTAGACCGCATTGGGTTGTGGGCCTTGCATAGAGGTGATGTTTCGGAGTTGCTAGGATATTCCCCTACATCCGAAGCGCCGTGCCCTCAACTTCGTTTTGGGGCCTTTGTGGCTGTAGTGTTTAGGGTCAAGGCAACATGTCCCTAAACCCTATTCTAATCCCGTGACCCGTAAATCCTAAACCCCTAACCCTTAACCCCCTAACCCTAAACCCTAAGCCCGGAACCCCTTCGAAAATGAAGGGTTCAGCCTCTTCTGGGGGGGCCCTGGGCTGCGAAGCGTCTGTTGTCCCAAGATGCGGAGGTATGAGGGTTTAAGGGTCTAGGGATTCTTCTTCTTAGTAGTAGTATACATCTATAGTGCCTACATAGATGTATTTTGTCCCCCAAGCCCTTCGCTGTTTTTGTTTAGGAGCTTTTCAAGCCTTAGCCCGGAACCAATCCTACCCCCCGAAACCCGTCGGTTAGAATAACCTAGCCAAACACTAAGCAGAGAACACCAGAGTGCAAAGCGAGACACCAGACACCCTGAATAACAAAGAAACGAGCCGAGACCTAGGACCCAGTTCTCGACCTCTAGCCCCCATCTTAAACCCCATATCCTGCGCCCCAAACCCGACGCCTTAAACCGTGGATCTTAAGTAAAGGGGGAAGCGGCGACAGTGTCCGCGGATTGCGACGCCTTCGGCCGAAGTCTTAAACGGCTGTCTCGCTATAAAATCCCCCAATAGTAGTCCCCATAGCCCATTCCCCCCATTCCCTACGAAGAACCAGACAGACGAAGCACCTCGAAGATGAGCCCTGCCCAGAGACTCCAATATCCTTTAATTAAGGAATATTCCTTAAATCATATTAAGGATCCTATTATAATTTAAGGTATATTCCTTAAGGGATATTGGAGTCTCTGGGTGTGTGTTACAGCCGGGGGAGCCCGGAGGCTGCGAACTTGAAAAGCTCTCATGGGCCCCCCAGTTCACGCAAGCAGCTGCTCTAAACCCTAAACCCTAAACCCTAAACCCTAAACCCTAAACCATCAACATTAAAAAAAAACCTTGATGGTCGCAGGAACTTTTCATCCTAAACCCTAAACTTTGACATGTTTGGTCGCAGGAAGTCGGGGACAAGTCGAGGGGCGATTCGGAGCATGGCGAGCAAGCACCTAAGTCCGAGGGATTCCGGTGCAGCCCTTGAGCCCTGTACTATAGGGGCCTCAACAATTACCTATACTATTTTCGGGGTTCCTTAATAAAATTATAGTATAATGGGACCCAAAACCATATTCCAAGTATTAAGACCCTTATGTTACGTTTACAAGCTTTTTGTTGCTCTTTCTTTGTGCTTTATACTTGGTTTCGAAAGGGCCTCATGAGGGTTGGCAGAGTTCTACTTGTATCCGGACGGCTTCGCTTCTCGAGAGGCTTCGGGTTCAGAGGCCCTCAGACGGCCGGGTTTGGGGGGTGCCCCTACGCGGGGGGGCAGGTCGACTGCTTCCTTTGGCTGTTCGGAAGAAGTTGTGGTAGCCATGTTGGCTCAAGTCTCGCACCCTTGTGGGACCCTTGGCTGTCAACCGGGGGGCCCTGGCTAAAGTCCCGCCTTGAAACTGGCCCTTGGGGCACTCACCTTTGTGGGGGACCGGCAGTCAAACGGGAAGCCTGGTGAGGAACCCAACGGTGGCCCAGGAGTAGGGGTCGGGCAGAGATGCCACGTCACAAAGCAACACGGAGTGATCGCAGACCCGCCCTGCAGATGCACCTTCTTGCAGAGATGGGGGACCAGATGGTTTAGGGGTTGGGGTTTAGGGTTTAGAGCTTAGGGGTTTAGGGTTTAGGGGTTTAGGGTTTAGGGCATTTCAAACTTTCGGACTTCAATTGAACATTGCAGACCCGAAAGTCAAACCCCTAAACCCTAAACCCTAATCCCTAAACCCCAAACCCCATACTCTTAACCATCGTCATTCAAGGCTTAGAGCTCAGACCTAGGTCACAGACTTTCTCAAACTTTCAGGGTTGAGGGTTGAGGCTGAACACCCGGTGAGCCGCAGAGCCCTCACATAAAGACGGTTCTTAGAGACCCCAAAAAAGCACATAAGCAGAACCATTTTATGGGGATATCCCTACCTTATTGGGCTTCAATTGAAGGGGGTTTATATGGGAGATCCCTATCTTAATTTTTGCTTATGTGCCTTTTTGGGGCCCGAGGTTCTATAAATCTCGATAAGCGACCTTTGCCAGCCTAAGGAGGATTAGGGTTTAGGCTTCTACAAGGGTTCCTGTGGAGATGACTCCAAGGGTTCTATAAGGGTCCATTTAAGGAGGATTAGGGTTTAAGGTTCTATAAGGTCTGCCCGCAAAACCCCAAACCTGCAACCCCGTGGCAGCACAAACGAAGCAGCAGCCCACATCTGCATTTTCCCTGGAGCCCTAAACCCTACAACCTTCAACCCTAAACCCCAAGCCCCACAAAATAGTATGTGGGTAGTTGTCAGCATTATGGTCCCTTTTGGGGTACCCTAAATAGTAGGTGCTGTATTATATTAGGGACCCAAAAAAAAACCATGATTTTGACAACCACCCATGTTATGAACTATTACGAACCCCCACCATGAATGTAGGGTCTGACCCTCGAGTCCAAACTCTTAGCGCTAGACTCTCGACCCTAAATTTTAAGCCCTGATCCATACACCCTGGACCTTAAACTCTGAACCCTAAGCTCTTAAACTCTAAACTTTTTAAACCCTTAAACACCAAATTCCTAAACCCGCCTAAACCCCAAGCTCTTAAACCCTAAACTCCTAAGTCCTAAACTTTTAATCCTTAAACTCTAAAAAACCCTAAACTCTTGAAGCCCCCCTAAACTCTAGCTCCCCTCAGCTCCCCCACGGCTCGAGGCCCCTCTGTGGTGGGCTCATCTCAGTTCTCGTGCGCCGGGACCGGCAGGGCACCTCTTCGTAGGACTTCAGATTTCGTGTTTGGAGGTTTAGGGGTTAGGATGCTGGGGCTTGGGGTTCAGGATCTAGAGTCGAGAGTTTAGGGAGTTTAGGGTTTCGGATTCGTCTCCGGATTGCAGGATTTGCGATTTGGGGTTTCGGTGTAGGATTAACTTAGGGTAAAGTAATCAGCATAGAGGGCGCAGGATTTGGTGAGGCAACTGGCGTGCCCACATGCCACTCCGGCTTTCTTTGTGACCTCATCAGTGAATTGGTGGTTCTTTTAGGGATCATGGTGAGAGCCGTTCGGCTTCCTGAGGGGTGAGTTATGACGGGGAGATGCCTCTGCATGTAAGGGTTTGGGCCGGGTCAACCCGCCTTCGAGTAGCAATCGCCATGGAACGTGACTGCCATGGGATTTGCTGAGGCTTCGGGCCGTTCAGCTCTTGGAGTTTATGTAGGGTTTAGGGTTTAGGATTTAGGGTTTAGGGTTTAGAGTTTAGGGTTTAGGATTTAGGTTTAGCGTTTATGCATTCGATGGCAAATCGTGGCCGACACAGGCAGGGTCGGCCTTTGCCCTTTGCCGGGTCTCGGTGTCGTCGTTGGTTTTAAGGTCTTGGGACCTTGTAGGGTTCCCATGATTGCATTGCCTGTCTCGAGTCCTGAACCCGCAAGTCAAAATCTAATCACCTCCGAACAGAAGTCCCACAATTGGTCACGGGTCTCGATAGCAAGGTGCAACATGTCTTTGAGAAACCTTAAACTCCTAAACCTAAACCTCTAAACCCTAATCCCCGAAACCTTAAACTCCTGAACCTTAAACCCTAAACCTCTAAACCCTATTCCCCGATACCCTAACTTGCTTGTGGCTTGCCAGTTTGAGGTCGAGGCTGCTTAATAGATCGCAGGCGAAGGATGAAATTCTTACGGCCACCCAGCTCTAATGTAGGGGCCCCAATAATTAGAATAGGGTTTTTAGGCCCATTATGACTAGAACAAGGAATCCTAAGAATAGTTTCGGTTTCTATATTGCTCAGCTGGGAAGGGTTGCAAACGAATAGCCCTGAATCCAAATCCGTGTTCATCAATTCCGCGCACCCTGGCACCTAACTGCTAAAGCTGGAGGACGCGCTGCCAGAGAAGCAGAAAGACATGTACAACCGGCTCCACCAGAGATGTATCGAAGAGGCTTGCATGAAGGGTCTGCATTTTAGGCTTTTTGTGAGGGCTTTTTGCGTAAAGCTTAAACCCTGGACCCGAAAGCCGTCAACCCTCTGTAGCATGAATGCCGGGCCAGGTAGTGGTCGGCCGAGAAGCACTTGCGTTCCCCAAACCGACGAGGCCCTCCCAAAAAGCCGGAATTGCAGGTTTGGAGGATGCTAAAGTGGCCTTCAATTGGAGTTAGTAGGGTTCAGGTGACAAGCTCCACGGCACCAAAAACCAGGGATATGACCTATAGTCTCCATTGTAGTTCCTGTTTTTGGTTATCCAATTTTATGGTTAGGACCCTATAATAAAGATTTTGGTTAACCAAAAAAAGGAACTACAATGGAGACTATAGGGATGTCTGAAAGAGCACATTCAAGAAGTGCAAGGCCTCCACAGCGTCATGCTGCCACGAAACTCCCCATGCGACACGATTCGTCAAACGATCAAACGAACTGAAGCTCATAGGCCCGTAGGTGCTGTCTATATGGTCGTCTAGATGTATTGATAGTACAGTATATCCCCAGACCTTGTTTGAATTTGAGAAGCTGCTGTACCCCCCCGCGGCAAAACCCTCTATCCCTCACAGAACCTTGGATGAACACCTTCATTTCAGGCCTCATACACCCCAGCTTAGGCCCTATAAGCCTACACGCATCATGTATAAACGTTCCCAACTGTTAAACCACAGTTTCAAGACTTTAAGACTTAAGTCCTAAACCCTACATCCTAATCCTTCGAAGCCCTAAACCCTAAATTGCACCCCGAAGAAACGAAGCCGCATGCAAGGTGCCCAAAGCCTGGCCCGGCTGGATCCAGAAAGCCGCGGGGAAGGCCACGAATGTTGGAAAGCGGCTTAGGGTTCAGAGTTTAGGATTTACAGTATCGCAGTTGAGGGTTCACGGGTTTAGGGTTCGGGGCTTTACAGGGGTTTAGGATTTAGGCTAGCATCAAGATCTCTTAAGAACGCGGGGTGCTTACGCGGGTTTTTCATTTGGGGCTGCGTGGTGTTGTGAACTCTTCTTTAGTAGGGTTCCCAGCGACGGGTTCTGGGCATTGAAGTTTCGTGTTTTTTTTTTGTGACGCGAAGCAGCTGAATGGGAGCCTTAATGGCTGTGACACAGTTTTAGGGTTTCTGAGCCCTGCACCCGGTCCAGAAGCTGCACCGCGCAGATTCAGGTCCGAGGCTCTGAAGCAGGACCGTTTCTGGCTTCAGGGTTGGCAATGTAGAGTCTAGGGTTAAGGTTTGCACAACCCTTAACTCTAAACCCTAAACCCTGAACCCTAAACCCTACCCTAAACCCGAAAGCCTGAACCCTAAAACCCTAAACCCGTGGCAGTAACACGACGAGGCTGGAAAGGCGCGCCCATCTCAGGACCTGCCTGGCACCTCAGATGCTCCCCTTCGCATCTCGGGGAGTTCCTATAACTTAGGGTACTTAGAAATATTTTTTTTATTTTTCCCGAAAGCATCGCGAAGGGTTCTTCCGTGTGGAACGCCGCAGCTGAGTACATAGATGACAGACATAGAATCAACTTACTTGACTCCATACTTTACTCTACACTCTACACTTGATACTTGACTCTACACTTGATACTTACTTACTTACTTGACCCTTATGACTGACTCTCTACACTTGACACTTGACTCTATGATACTTGACTCTACACTTGATACTTGACTCTATGTTATGCTTACGACTTACTTACTTACTTACTTACTTCAATCTACTTACTAACTTACTTGACACTTGACACTTGACACTGGACTCTATGTTATGCTATCTCTATACTTACTTACTTACTTACTTGACTTGCTTACTTATACTTACTATACTTACTATACTTACTATACTTACTACTTACTGACTTACTTACTGACTCTACTTACTTACTTATGATTACTTACTTATGACTGACTCTCTATGCATCTATGACTTACTATGACTTATGACTTACTCTCTACATCTCGGTATCTTAATATTTCTTTTAAAGGCGGGGGTGGCACCGTCGGGGTCCATCGGGAATGCAACCCTTCACCTGGATTCGCCTCCTCGGGCGTTCAAACGCTAGGTAAAGTGACACATTTTAGGCGCACCGCGCAACCCTTCCCAGGGATTCGCTGCCTCGGGCGTTCAAACGCTAGGTAAAGTGACACATTTTAGTTCAAACGCGAGGTAAAGTTACACATTTTACCGCGCAACCCTTCCCAGGGATTCGCTGCCTCGGGCGTTCAAACGCGAGGTAAAGTTACACATTTTAGGCGCCCGGCGCAACCCTTCACAGGGATTGGAACTCTCGGGCGTTCAAACGCGAGGTAAAGTTACACATTTTGCGGTGCCCGCGCAACCCTTCACAGGGATTCGCCTCCTCGGGCGTTCAAACGCGAGGTAAAGTTACACTTCTTGCGGGCGCCGCGCAACCCTTCACAGGGATTCGCCTCCTCGGGCGTTCAAACGCGAGGTAAAGTTACACTTCTTGCGGGCGCCGCGCAACCCTTCACAGGGTTTGGGTGCAGTTCAATTTTTTTTGCAACCCTTCACAGGGATTTGCATTTTGCAACCCTTCACAGGGATTGGCGTGGTCGGGTGTTCGAACGCGAGGTAAAGTTGCATTTTTTGATTTGCATTGAAATGAATTTTGCAACCCTTCACAAGGATTGGCGTGGTGGAGTGTTCGAACGCGAGGTAAAGTTGCAATTTTTGATGAGCATTGAGATGAATTTTGCAACCCCTCACAGGGATTGGCGTGGTCGAGTGGTTGAACGCGAGGTAAAGTTGCAATTTTTGATGAGCATTGAGATGAATTTTGCAACCCTTCACAGGGATTGGCGTGGTGGAGTGTTCGAACGCGAGGTAAAGTTGCAATTTTTGATGAGCATTGAAATGAATTTTGCAACCCCTCACAGGGATTGGCGTGGTCGAGTGGTCGAACGCAAGGTAAAGTTACACATTTTGCGGTGCCCCGCGCAATCCTTCATTGAGAGGGATTAGCTTCCTCGAATGTTCTAATCGGAAGGTGTGCAGGTACTGTTGCATGGTCTTTGGGCGCTGCGTGTAACCCTCTGCATGGATTGGCGTGGTCCAGGGTTGAAACGTGTGTGCAAACTACTACTTGTATCCTTTCCGCCGTGCAACTCTCCACAGGGAGTGGCGTGGTCGATTGCAGGAACTTGCATCTCTGCGAGGTGCAATTGGCAACCCTTCAGAGGGATTGGCAGATGCATATATCGATAATATACGCACATATATATATATATATCTATCTTTCTATCTATCCATATATGGATAGATAGATAGATAGATAATAGATATATAGATAGATAGATAGATAGACATATATTCATGCGCCTGTACGGCGCGTACGCTGTCTTGCGACGGCGCAACGCGCCGCTGCCTGGCCGATGACCTGCAGGCTCGGAGCTTCTTCCTGCTTTGTAGAGGCTTTCTCCTTGCACACGTTTGACTCGCAGGCTGCCTGGTCGATGACCTGCAGGCTCGGAGCTTCTTCCTGCTTTGTAGAGGCTTTCTCCTTGCACACGTTTGACTCGCAGGCTGCCTGGTCGATGACCTGCAGGCTCGGAGCTTCCTCCTGCTTTGTAGAGGCTTTCTCCTTGCACACGTTCGACTCGCAGGCTGCCTGGCCGATGACTTCTGCAGGCTCGGAGTTTCTTGCTGCTCTGTAAAGGCTTTCTCCTTGCACGTTTGCCTGCCTCGTTTGGCTCGAAAGGCAGAAGAAAGGGAAGAAAGGGAAAACGCGTTGCAGTATTTTGCACACATTGCAGCATCTTACTACACCTAGTACGCTTCCTTGCCTGCCTTGACGCTGTCTTGCGAAAGGGCCGGTGTGGAGATTATTCTCAGCTTATTCTCATCTTCTCAGCTGACCATACTTAGGACAGTTGTTTGCCCGCCTCGACGCTGTCTTGCGAAAGGGTCGGTGCAGACACTTTTGCATTTGAACATACTTGGGACAGTGTTTTGCTTGCCTCGACGCTGTCTTGCGAAAGGGCCGGCGTGGACGCCTTCTTCCATCCCATGGATTCGCGGTTGCAGAAGTTCCGCGCCGGTTATGCCCAGCAGGGCGAAGACTGGCTCCGCACCGAGCTGGACAAGCAAAACCGGCAGGACCTGCGTGGGCTCTGTGTCGCTGCGGGTGTGCAACAGAAGTCTGCCGGGCACACGCTTACCAGAGCGGAGCTGTTGGAAGCTCTATCACAGAGCATTGCCGGGGAGCAGGCTTCATGGGGAAGCGGCGTTCTTGAGGATTGTCCATGTCAGCTTCGGTTGCAGTGAGGCGTCAGTGTCGTTGTCAGGTGGGATGTATTGTGCTTTGAAGTGAAGTAGTTCTTGCTGTCAGGCCGATGAACCTGCGTCGCAGCGAAAGCTGCAGGAGCTGCGCGCGGGTTATGCCGAGCAGGGCGAAGCCTGGCTCCGCACCGAGCTGGGGAAGCAGAGTCGGCAGGAGCTGGTTGGGCTCTGTGTCGCTGCGGGTTGTGCAACAGAAGTCGTGCCGGGTGCACGCTTACCAAGCCGGAGTTGTCGAAAGCTCTATCACAGAGCATTGCCGGGGAGCAGGCTTCATGGGGAAGCGGCGTTTTTTGAGGATTGTCCATGTCAGCTTCGGTTGCAGTGAGCTGTCAGCGTCGTCGTCGGGTGGGATGTTTAGTGCTCTGCAGTGAAGCAGTTCTTGGTGTCAGGCCGATGAAGCGGCGTCGCAGCAAAGGCTGCAGGAGCTGCGCACGGGTTATGCCGAGCAGGGCGAAGCCTGGCTCCGCGGCGAGTTGGGGAAGCACGGCAAGGATGAGCTGGTTGGGCTCTGTGTCGCTGCGGGTTTGCAACGACACCGTGCCGGGTGCACGCTTACCAAGCCGGAGTTGTCGAAAGCTCTATCACAGAGCATTGCCGGGGAGCAGGCTTCATGGGGAAGCGGCGTTTTTTAGGATTGTCCATGTCAGCTTCGGTTGCAGTGAGCTGTCAGCGTCGTCGTCGGGTGGGATGTTTAGTGCTCTGCAGTGAAGCAGTTCTTGGTGTCAGGCCGATGAAGCGGCGTCGCAGCAAAGGCTGCTCGAGCTGCGCACGGGTTATGCCGAGCAGGGCGAAGCCTGGCTCCGCGGCGAGTTGGGGAAGCAGAGTCGGGCGGAGCTGGTTGGGCTCTGTGTCGCTGCGGGTTTGCAACGACACCGTGCCGGGTGCACGCTTACCAAGCCGGAGTTGTCGAAAGCTCTATCACAGAGCATTGCCGGGGAGCAGGCTTCATGGGGAAGCGGCGTTTTTTA